TCTAATTTATACGGCATCTTGAAGCGAACACTTCAAAATAATTAAATGTCAACTGGCAGTAAAGTAGGTTAATACACTTTTGTGTCCAAAACCAACTTCATATTATTTTGTGTTTGTTAAAATTAAAGCCAATTAATGTTGTGCCTAAACTTTTAGGACATACGTTAGAGTGGAAAGTGTTTTTTCTGAATAATATGCATGATTTTATGTCCAATTTTATGGATTTTCTGAGAGAATGTTAAATTCCCCCCCTATTCTTCAAAAGTCATCACCACTATCTACGCCACTTTTTTGCTCTTCAACTGCCATCACCCTCTGCTTGGGAGACATTTTTGTTGACGCCTAATGATCTCCTGAATTTTCTGTACCATCAAACTAGCCCTATCATTTTTGCCCTGCACGGGTATTACGAATCTTGAAAAGTGACATTATGTCGGTTTTTTTTGACATATTATTGTTTTTTTGAGACATTAAAACAGAGGCAGCTGGTCGTGACACTATATCACGGAAAATGCTACTGTTATTAGAGAACCGCCTACTAAATCATATCAGGTATATAATAAATTGCTGTCTCACTTCGTGTGTACTTCCGGATATGTGGAAAATGTATAAAGTAATACCTATACCTAACATATCTAATCCGAATCAATTATCTGACTTAAAACCAATCAGTATTTTACCAATATTATCAAAAGTCCTAGAAAAGATAATGGAACAACAAATTTCGGAATATGTTACAAATAAATCTATTTTACCACAGATTCAATCCGGCTTCCGCATATCTTATGATACTACAACAGCTTTAGCTTGCATAGTCAATGATTTAATGTTTTCAGTCGTCAACAGCAAAATTGTTTGTTTAGTGTTACTTGATTACAGGAAGGCTTTCGATACCATTAACCATTGACCATTAACTTTGCACTAAATTAAAATACTTTGACTTCAGCTGTCCCGCTGTGCAACTTATAAAAAGTTTTCTGATAGAAAGATTCCAATATGTATCAATTTATTTGAACGATTCCAATAAGTCCCCTATAATAATGAGAGTACCTCAAGGGTCCATTCTCAGTCCTTTATATTTCTCTTTTCCAACAATATAAAATACTGCAATGTTCATCACTACGCCGACGACACACAATTATATTATGGTTTTCATATTAATGCATCCTTTTCCTTTGATTTGATCAACAATGATCTTCGAGCCATGTATAACATTTAACACTAAATGCCTCTAAATCAAAAGTTATGATTTATGGACCAAAGCAGAAACGAATCGTAATAAAAAATGAAAATCTACAGGGTGTCCCGAAAAAAGTGTGCAATATTCTACCAACGGTTTCTAGAGCTTAAAATAGGAAGAAAAGTTTATATAAACATAGGTCGACAAACGGCCCCTAACGGCGCTACGGTCTTTTAGAGGGGCTCCCCTGAAGATGGTTTTTCCTTAATATTTCCGAAATGTGTTGAGATAAAGACATAAAATTTGGTATTCTATCCTAGTTTTTTATGCTGGATTTAAAATTATTAACAGTTTTAGACAGTTTTGTTTGAAAGCGTATGTAACAGGGACGGGCTCAGGTTATTTTAGCCCCAAAATTTTTGTGTGATTCTATTTTTGAAATTCAATTTTGGAGTTTGAAGATCTAGGGTTTTCTACATAAAAAAGGTACTCCTATTGAATATCGATAAATTGGGTCATTTTTAAAAAAAATCAAACTAAAAAATTTGTCACAAGCTGTAAGTTGTATACGTACTATAGCTAGAAAAAAAACGGTAGCGCATAGGTGCATAATGAGGATTTGTGTGTTAATAATCTGTGAAGGGTACAGGCCAAGAACAGGAAATGTAACAATTTTTATGTTTTTTTAATTTCCCATTGGAAGCAAATCCTTGTATATGATATTTTGATTCACAATCGTAATCCTTTAAAATAAGTAAACAGATAGCCGAAACGAGAAGAACAAGGAATGTCCATGTCATACCGGCAAAGAAGAAGGATTGACCAGTTGTAGTTTTGAGATTAGAATTTATATAAGTTTGCGGTATATTTTTGAAGTTGTATATATTTTCTGATTCAGGAAATGATGAAAATAATAAGAGTGTTATTAACAAATCAACAAAGAAAAGAAAGAAAACTGGTATAACTGAAGGCGGAATGAAATGGTTGAGACTTTCTACTATTATCAAATATTTCAATTCATTGGGTAGTGCCATTTAATATTTGTCAGGGCATATAAAATTTTCATTATCTGAAACAAAGGACAAGCAGGAAGTTTGAGGGTGAAACTTATTTTCATACAGCTGCTTACAGCTAAAAGATAAAGATATCAACGATTATGTTGTTAAAGATGTGCCTGTATGTTTAGCATTCATTGTACTTCATGAAGTTGTCCAAGAAAAGGTTTCATATCTTCAAAAAAGCATAAAAACCACAGAGAAAGCTCCAGAAGATCAAAGAGAAAAGCATGGGAATCATAAAAAAATGCATCAGAGATTAAGGAAAAAGGTTTTAATCATATTAACTCTTTTAACGGAAGATTGAGTCATTACAGTTTAAAAGACAGTAGGAAATTAAAATATGATTCCAAAACCAAAGATTCCGATAACTGAATTGAACATTCCTTGTTTTTTACTTGCTTCAAATGTTTCATTTGGTTTTTGTTCAATTTAGATAAGTTTAATAACTAAACGGTCCAATGTCACCAAGAAAAATATATTAGATATAAAGCATTTAATTAGTTGCATACTGCATACTTCGATCTCAATAAAAATAATATACTTTCAAATTTTTCTCAAAATCAGTTCATCAGGACATTCCCGTCATGTATTGATGATAATTCCATTGGTTCCTTGTCTCACATTCACTTACTTGAGATTCAAAGGCAGAAATTAGTTGCGCATCCACTTTTTCTTATTCATTCTGGAAATTAGCGCCTAGATGTGAGGCATTACGAAAATGTTTGATGTGTGATTCGTTATTCCTAATTTTTCTGTGACGTGGCTTAATTGCACACAACGCAAGCACATTGGCGATTTCCCGTAGCGCTCCTCAAAGTTATTGAAAACACAAAAAATGGGATAAATCGTAATTTATAACTTTGAACATAGCCTGTCTTCAGAAACGACAACATATAAATAAACCGTCGGTAACAGCTAATAGATATACTTCATTGACAGCACATTCAGTACTAATTTGCTGACAGAACAAATATCACGGATTTTATGCACATGCAGACCAATAAACATCATCATTCAGATGCGATCTTGCTATTCAACCAACTTTCTTTCTTTCACATTTTCTCTTCACAAAACATATAATCGGTGATTTTTTTGATAGTATCTTTTTGGCAACACTGTTTTTGACAGATGATGCCTGAATCGTGTCTTGTGTCATTGTCAAGCTTGTTCAGTTTGGCCAATAATTTAACCATGAATCGAACAACGCTTGCAAATTATTGAATTTTACTATCAAAATTCATGCTCGGTTAAGAGAGTGCATCGAGCACTGCTTCCAATTTATGGGCAATTTGGTCGGCCTACTGAGGGAGCTATTCGGAAGCTTGTGACTAAATTTCGAACCCAGTTTACATTATTGGACATTAAACCACCAACACGCAGACGTAGAGTGAGGACTGAAGAAAATATTGCGGCTGTATCCGCCAGTGTTAGTAATGACCGTGAAATGTCGATTCGCCGCCGTTCCCAGCAATTGGGCCTCTTTTACTCCACTACGTGGAAAATTTTGCGACAGGATTTGGGTGTAAAACCTTATAAGATACAGCTGGTGCAAGAATTGAAGCCACACGACCTCCCACAACGTTTCCAATTTGGTGAATGGGCGCTGGCAAAGTTGGAGGAAGATCCACATTTTTATCGAAAAATTGTGTTCAGCGACGAAGCTCATTTCTGGTTGAATGGGTACGTTAACAAGCAAAATTGCCGCATCTGGAGTGAAGATCAGCCAGGAGCATTGCAAGAGCTACCAATGCATCCCGAAAAAATCACTGTTTGGTGTGGATTATGAGCCGGTGGCATCATCGGGCCGTACTTCTTCAAAGACGACAATGGCCGCAACGTAACTGTGAATGGCGAGCGCTACCGTGCGATGATAACAAACTTTTTTTTGCCCAAAATGGAAGAGCTGGACTTGGCTGACATGTAATTTCAACAAGACGGTGCCACATGCCACACCGCACACGAAACAATGGCCCTATTGAGAGGCGAGTTCGGTGAACAGTTTATCTCACGTTTGGGGCCCGTCAATTGGCCGCCTAGATCGTGTGATTTAACGCCGTTGGACTATTTCTTGTGGGGCCATGTTAAGGCTAATGTCTACAGGGACAAACCAGTAACGATTGACGCACTGGAAGCCAATATAGAAGCATTTATTCGTGAGATACCGGCCGATATGTTGGAAAGTGTGTGCCAAAATTGGACCTTGCGCATGGGTCATCTAAAGCGGAGCCGCGGCCAACATTTACATGAAATAATCTTCAAACATTAAATTATATCGACCGTTCTATCGACTCAAATAAAGCTTTAATCGTTTTTTCAAATTTTTTGTGTTTTTTTTGAAAATCAAATCATATACCTCTTAAAAAATCACCCATTACTTACTTTCTGCAGCCAACAATTTGTATAGTTGAGTCATTCCTCCATAGATGGACGTTCACAGCGACCATAGCAAGCAAACGTGGAATGAACTATTTGCACTCTAAAAACAACCTAGTCTGCAAGATGACAGTTTTATAGATTTTTTACACACAATAGGCGCGCTGGTCTAAGGTATTTACATGAGTGACAATTCCACAGAGATATCATCAACATTGCAGGCCAGTCTAATCTAATCTAAAACGATAAATTTTTAGTCTCTGTCTTTTGTTTTCAGCACATGTCCAATGATCATGGAAAACCCTCGTATATAGGTTTTATCCAAAAAGATAACAAAATATTGGAAAACACTTAGTGACGTGAAGTCCTATGTGTATAAAATAAAAGCACTTGTCACGCTAGGGAACATGTACTCCATAATCAATATTTGCCGCAACAATCGTGAGGAATTCCAAGCGAACCGTACAAAAACAAATTTTAATATTTTTCCCACTTCGAGATACAGTTGCATCATTAGCGATTAGTGCAACCATATGCGAGTATAAATATTAATTCTACTCAAACATCTCATCATTGTTTGGTAATTCCGAAATCATGATTTTTCGATACATTCTGTTTCTAAGCCTCGTCGGTGTGGCTCTGCTGAAAAATTGCAAGAAAAGTGTGACCACAGTGAATGGAAAGCAGAATTTCTGTAATGGCCAATTGATTTTTGAAGATAATTTCAACAGTTTGGACACAAAAAAGTGGCAGCCAGAGAATACTCTGTCGGGTGGTGGGGTATGTACACATACATTTACCGTTTCAAATATCCACTACTTTGTATTTCGTGTTATGCAAATTACGGCACTGCTATGATGATGATCTAATATGTAGAGTTGCTTAGGTTTGCACTTTTCAATTCCTTTGTTCTAGCGTAGGTTATAAGTAAGAGATGCATGTAAACCAAGGTGACCAGTACTCATTCGTCTTCTGTTAAATAAAGTCGCTTTTTTAAAAAGTCGTTCGTTGTTTGCACATTCTTAATTGGCGCTGCGAACAGGATATCGGCGTACCGAATCGATAATCGGCGGTATTGATTCACGAGTATCGCTCAATCGAGACCGAAAAAGTGCAAAAAATCGTCCGGTGTGTTCGGGTACGATTTCAATCGTTTTGACGTCGATCACAAAGAACTTCGAAGGCTACACCGAGCAGGCACATCACCATCGAAGTACCAGGCCGAAATACTTGCTAAGTATTTTGGGAGCAGGCAACGACACTTGAGAAAACGACAGGAACTGACAGGAGCGAGGTGCTGGATCCACGGCAGGCAAGCTGTCAACCAGGAGGAGCTGTATTGGCCCAAGGAGGTATCTCAGATCTCTCCAAATGAAGCTGCTAGTGCCCAGTGTAGCGTAAGAAACAACATTTACAATTTTTGCTGTACTCAGTGATATTTCCATTTATTTCTCGAAACTTTTTCGCCCTCTATTGCTTTACATTTATATATACTCGTAAAAGTTATCTATAAGTAAACTTATTTAGTGACTTTAATTGCATATATTTAATGTCCGATTCTGAATTTGAATCTGTAGTCGAAAATACACCTGTTAGACAAGTTATTTTGACACCCTCACGTCTTAATTTTAATCAGTCAACCATGTCTCTTCAAGATTTACAAATTAAATTCAATGTAGCTAAATATATGGTACCAGAATATCATGGAGGTCACAGAGATCTAATTTATTTTTTGGATAATTCAGAAAAGTTTATTGCAGAATTTGTTAATACACCTTTTGTTTCGTATGCTTTCCAATACGTTATTTCTCAGCTGAAAAGCGAAGTAAGAGAATTAGTGCATCTAACTAGTCCGAGAACCTGGCCAGATTTAAAATCATTATTATTATCCAAATATAAAGATCCTAGAAATGAAGAAACTCTTCTCACCGCCTTATATACGTCAGTTCAGAAACCTAACCAAAAATATGAAGACTTTTATCAAGAAATTAAATTTAAGGTACAGAGCCTGAAAGAATTTGCAAATTTAGAATACCATGATAATCCCGATCATATCGCTTTTAAATTGAGAGACTATGATAGACAGTCTTTGAGCTCCTTTATCTCTGGTTTGAATGAACCATATAGGTCTTATGTAAGACAGCAAAATCCTACTACAATTGATTCTTGTGTTCAATATTGTCGTGATTATGATAATTTGCAAATGCAAGTTGATTATAAAAATTTCTTAAGAACGAGCCTATATAAACGACAACAGCCTCAGTCTCAGAATAAAGTACAAGCTTCAAATCAAAATTTCCAAAGGTCCAATTTTAATTTTTCTCAAAAGCCCAATCAGTTTAGAGCCCAAAATAGTCAAACTTGGCTAGAGCCACAACAAACCTTCCCTACAGGTCCCATGCAACTACCACCACCTAAACAAAATTTTAAACCTCATTACCCTACAAACATTCAAGCTTTCAGACCACCACAGAATGTTTTTTCCAAAAAACCCATTCCAGGTCAACAAAAAAGTAATCCTATACCTATGTCTGTATCTACAGCACGCACACCGAAACCCCAGCAAAACCCATATCGTCAACAAATGCCCACTAGAGTTAATGCCTTTCAAGTAGGTCCCAAACCAAACCATTATTATGTCGAAGAAATTACTCATCTTGAAAATGAGGAAGAACAAACTTTTGCAGGAACGCCACAATATGAATCTGAGGAATATACCCAAGATTTCGATTCAGACTATATCCCCGATGAATCTTATTTTGAAAACAATGACGAAGAAAATTTTCCTTCGACGAGCCAGTCTCAAAATTTGACTTAGATATAAATAATTATCAAAAAACCCACCTTCCGTATATTTTTTGTTCTCAGTTTAATCTTATCATCTTAATCGATACTGGTGCATCATCCTCCCTGATCAATCCAGAAATTGCTTTTAAATATTTTCCAGATCGTATTTATGATCATCCTTTTGAAATTAATTCATGTACGTCCAATTTTAGAGGTCAATATGCCTGTAAAATTCCCATATTTTCTGAATGGAAGAATAAAACTGAAATTGAATTTTTAATTCTTCCTTGGCATTCACGTTATGACTGCTTATTAGGATTCTATGATTTACAAAAGCTTAATTGCTCTATTGATTTGACTAAACATCAGATTATTACTGATAAATGTAAAATTACTTATAACACTTCTTTTAAGCCAATTCGAGAAAACAATCCAGTTCAGTATAGTTACCCGAAAAAATCATTAATTATCCGAAATTTGGATAATGGTTCTGTTGTTATTCCACCTTTGAAATTCAAAAATTCTGACGAATATTTTCCTGAATGTATTTGTAACGTAGAAAATAATGCTATTCAATATCCAATTGACATAAATCTTCTTGATATTTCCAACCCATTTTTATCTGAACCTCTTGATGATTTTCTAATTGAAAAAGAATCTCCATTTTCCACTGAAAAATCCAATATACGTGTTGAAAATTTAATTCGTACGTCTCATATGAATAGTGAAGAAAAAGAAAAGATTATTAAGCTCTGCAAGCAATTCAAACAGGTATTTTTCAAGCCTAACGAACCATTAACTCCCTGTAATGCCACTGCACACAAAATTAGGTTAAAAAATGAAGACCCAATTTATGTAAAAAATTATCGATATCCTTATCATCTCAAAAAGGAAATCCAAAATCAAGTTTCCAAGTTATTGAATGATGGAATCATTCGACAAAGCAATTCACCCTATCAATCACCCTGCTGGATAGTTCCTAAGAAAATGGATGCATCGGGTGTTAAAAAATATAGGATGGTTATTGATTTCAGAAAACTGAATGAAATAACAATTGAAGATAAATTTCCACTCCCACTAATTGAAGAAATTTTGGAAAATTTAGGCAAAAGCATGTATTTTTCTACTATTGATTTGGCACAAGGGTTCCACCAGATCCCTATGGATCCTGAGTCTATAGAAAAAACGGCTTTTACTGTTGAAAATGGCCACTATGAATATGTCCGTATGCCATTTGGGTTAAAAAATGCCCCTGCTACCTTTCAACGTATGATGAATACTGTATTGTTAGAATATATCAACGTTTTTTGTTTTGTCTATATGGATGATATCATTGTTTTTTCAAAATCCCTAGACGAACACATTTTGCATCTTCGAAAAATATTCCAAAAACTGAATCAGTTTAATTTAAAAATCCAACTGGACAAATCTGAGTTCCTGAGAAAAGATGTTCCATTCTTAGGTCATGTCATCACGCCACAAGGCATACTTCCAAACCCAGATAAAATCAAAGTAATTCAAGAATATCCTCTCCCGACTACGATTAAAGAAATCCAGTCATTTTTAGGCCTTATGAACTATTATCGTAAATTTATTAAAGGATTTGCACAATTGACTAAGCCATTCACAAAATGTTTACGTAAAGATGAAAAAATCAATATCAATAATCCAGATTATATCAATGCATTTAAACTTTGTAAAGAAGCTCTTTGTAACCCACCTATTCTGGCTTATCCTGATTTTTCCAAAAAATTTACATTGACAACTGATTGTAGCAATATAGCCCTATCAGGAGTTCTTAGTCAAAATGATAAGCCTATTGCTTTCCACTCTCGAACATTAAATTCTGCTGAACGCAATTACAGCGTTATTGAAAAAGAACTATTGGCAATAGTTGATTCTTGTAAAAAATTCCGTCCTTATTTATTTGGTCAAAATTTTCTAATCGAATGTGATCACAAGCCCCTAGTTTGGTTGAGTTCTTTATCAGTGCCCAATCAGCGATTGATTAGATGGAAGCTTCAGTTAGAAGAATATAATTTTTCAATTAAATATAAAAAAGGCAAAGACAATGTTGTAGCCGATGCGCTCAGTAGAATTGAAATTAACGCTTTAGAGGATGACGATCTTTTATCCATTTTACCACAAGTAGATTCTGTAGAAGAATTAACAACCCAAGAACTTGATGAAATCTTGAATGAAGATAATTTACCTTTAATTGATTTATTAGATGAAATGCCGTTAGATGAACGACTCAAAATTGTTGAGCAATCTGATGTTACTCGACATTCATCTGCACAAAATCCTATCAATCATATATTGTATCAAGAAAAGAATTTTTATTTTTTCAAAAATCGAATACATTTTCAGTTAAAAAATCAGTACAAAATAACAAAGTCTTGCAATGGAACTTTAATGGTAACAGTCCGAAGTGGATCTGAAACAGAGCAACTTTTGAAATTCATGAAGGAATATCTTCAGCCCGATCATACTTATGGTATTTGGTATGAAAATCAACTTTTAGAATTTAAACTTAACGAACTTTTAGAACAGTATTTTTCGAACAGCGGTATAAGATTTGTTAAAGCTTCTTATAAGCCTATATACCTACTAAAAGACTCATTTACAGAACAATTGTCTTTCTATCATAGCCAAACGCATAATGGTATCAATGAAACTTACAGCCATTTCAAGAAAAAAGCATTCACTCCAAATATGAAAAAAATAATATCAAATTACATTAATCAGTGCAATACTTGTTTGACATCAAAATACGAAAGACGACCAATCGAACTCCCTATGGAAGGACCTCTAATAGCCAAAAGACCATTTGAACATATATTTCTAGATATTTTTCAAGTCGAACAACAAATATTTTTAACATTTGTTGATTTATTTAGTAAATATGCCCAGGCCTACAATTTAAAATCAAAATTATCTAACGAAATATTAAACAAAATCAGACACTTCTTTTCCCATCACAATTATCCTGA